CGGCGGGGTCGGAAGATCATCGGGTGACGGTTTCGGGGGGAGGAACTGTGACGAGGACATCTGATCGCCGCGGCGGCTGTCTGAGCGTGCTTCCTTCCGGCTGGAGAGCTTCAACTTGGGCAAGGAGCGCAGTAGTTTGTTCTCGGAGAGTGTGCGCCTGTGCTTTCCCTTCTCTATCGTCGGCCCGTCCAACTCTCCAGCTGGACTCTGGAAGTCGTTGGCTGAGCTCAAGCGACTTAGTCGTGCTGCGCCGTCGAGGTTGCGGTAGGGCGCCTTCTTGCCTCCGTCGTCGCTATCGCCGGAGTCGACTTCTTGCATCGTGCCCAGGTCCGTCTGCGACTGCTGACCCGCGCGGGCTATCATGGAGAAGAGCGACTGGTTCATCGACATGGTGTTGTTCCGCTTCGGCGCCGTGACATCCTCCTGCGCATCGTCGCCATCTCGGAAGCGCTCCGGTACGTCCATAGACACACCGCGCGTTTCTCTTCTTGAGTCTTTTCGCTTTCTGCTCATTCGGCGACTCGTCCTGTCCTGGCTTCTGTCTTGGGACGCCATCTCGGGATGGGGCGTCGTGCGCCTGCACTCAACAGTTATTGGATCGTCAAGGTTGCTCGCGGATGTGCTGGCGGATGTACCACCGTTGGTCAAGGCAGCGATGTGGACTCTGAAGTGTATTGCGATTTACTATCTGAAAAGGTATCGCTCGCTGCAGGGCAGTTGGGAAGATCGTTAAAGGTCACATATTGGAGCGTTGAGGGAATGACTTGTAGCTGTCTCGTGGCTGAGGAGCGTGCTGCATGCGTCCGGGGTACCTGCTAGCGCAATACGATAAGGTTACCCACGCACACCTCCAGGCAACGACCGCGACCGGTAATTGTGGAGTGTGACAGGCAGTGTATTAATCTGTATATTTCACTCGAATCCGTTATCATCCCACATGCTTCTAGGTTGCAAGCTGCAAGCCCCCAGGTCCGTTGGAGCAGTCTACAGACGTCATTGGTCGGACTTATCGATAGGTGCACGTGTAAACGCCAGCCCAAGGCGTTGCCGTCCGCTAACGTGGACTATAATAGCCCACGCGATGACAGCCAGGTACTCCAACGGAGGTGCAGACAGGCAGACAAGCGGATGCGGATGCGGATGGATAGCATGATCATAAGCCCACGCGTGCAGTTCGTTCATGGTGTCAAAAATATAGGTATGCTCCACGACGCGAGAAATGGCAAAAAGAAGGCAAAAACATACAACAGCGCGTATTCCCCGGTGGTCACCCACCCGAGTACTAATGCGCCGGTATCTTGCTTAAGTACCGCTGAGCGAACGGGAAGCGCTGAGTTCAAGATCCTATGGTCGTATGTAAAAGAATGGGCTGTTGTAGCAGTATATGAACGCATTTGTTCACGGGCTTGACGGCCCGTGACCACCGCCCAAGCCATCCGTGCCCGCAGGTTGGTGGAGGACCTAGTATTTCGTGAATTTATCCCCTGGGAGACAGCTAATCGTGTGGTTAATAGATATGTATTACCGTCTCGAGATCGCAACAACAAGTAAAGAAGTACATGCAAAGATTCAAAACATCACATGCAAGGACACAAACATTCTTTATCCTTCTCATTGGCTGATGTACTCTTGTACAACCGAATACCCAAGTCATTAAACCTAACTACAATTTGATCCAAACGCCGTCATCATTTCCATGACGTTCCAGAGTTGTATGATATCCGTAAGGGGGCGACATGGGGAGCAGAAGCTTACTTGGACTTGGCAAGGCCGACAGCCGAGTTACCAAGGTCGTATACGGAGTACCACTTCCTGAGGAAAGCGTCACCGAGAATAGCAAGAGGTCCTACTGGCTCGGGGAAGTCCATGCCCATAAAGGCAGAGATGCAGGATCCCTGAACCTCGAGGATGTAGTCGAACGCGCTGATGGTGAAGTTGTGGCCGGTAAGAGTGAAGGTGAGGTCGGGCAGACTGTCACGCTTGTCGCACTCGACAGAGTACTGGCCGTTGAAGCCCTTCTTGGCACCAATCTCCTTGTTCAGGAGCTCGGCGATGGTGGAGGGAAGAGCGATCAGAGATGTACCGGTGTCAAGGATGACACCAGTGTTGTCCATCTCAGCAGTCTCCTTGCCGAAGGTGATGGCATCGAGGTCAACCTCCCAGTAGGCCTTGCGCCTGAGGGGAAGCTTGACCATCTTGCCGGTGTAGTGGCTCTCATCGATGCCACCGAAGGTAGCCTCGGACTCCTGGCCCTCGTTGGTGTCGCCGAGGTAGAAGGCGAAGACGGGCTCGTCCAGGAGACCCTGCTCAAGCATGTTGTAGAAGGGAGGAACTATGCCCTTGACACTGATAGTGTCGTAGCCAAGACCCATGATGCCGTCGAACCTGCCGAAGGCGAAAGCGAGACCAGGCTCGGAGGTGGCCTCGGCGAAGTCCTGGTGCTTGACCTTGAGGTCGCCGATCTGGAAGACATCCTGCGAGACGAAGCCGCTGAGCGAGCCGGATCCGTAGCGGATCTCGAACTCGGTGCCGTTCTTCTTGTAGGTTGACGACGCCGAAGAGTCGTACTTGGTGTGAAGGTAGCAGGCAATCGAGTTGCAGCTCTGCGATGGGACCCAGAGGTTGGAGCTTCCCGTGTCGAGAACGACCTTGAAGGTCTGGGGAGGAGTTCCGAGAGAGATCTCAGAGAAGTCTGGCGCCTGTTAGCTTTCGCCACACGATGCTGCGCAGCGCGCGGAGCTTCGGAGACGTACATTGCGCGTTCAGGAAGTTGCTGACGGGCACGGGGTGGGTGCCATCGGCGATGTAAGGCGCTTTGAGCGCAGCCTCCATGTGCGACTGGGCCTTGAGGCCGGTCATGTGCTGCTGGGAGTACTTCTGCTTGAGGCCAGCCACTTGGGTCTCGATGTTGGCAAATTCCTGCTGGCGGTTAGACTGCGATCTTGCGCGTCCAAATGCGACGATGGCTTACCAGCTGGTCAGACAGAGAGACCTTCTTGAGCGGCGTCTTGTAGACAGCCGCAGAGGCCGAAGTGGCTGCTGCGAGGAGCACCGCCGTCTTCATGATTGCGGACGTTTGATGGAGACGGATGGGATATGGAAGAAGAATGGATGGATGGGAGATGGGATGGCGGGTGGAGAGGGAGAGATGGGGGAGTGAGTGGTGTGTTGGGGATGGAGCTCAAGCTGGAGCTATCTATGGGGCTGGGGAAGGCGCGGCGGGCGAATGACGAATGTGACCAGTGCTGCCTGGCCGACAGTGCGACTAGCGTGACACGTTCCCTGTTCGAGGATTGTACCTGCGCCATGCCCCAGACAACCAGAACCGAGGTCTGCATAGTGCTATGCCAGCCACTTTCATCCGTGGAACTTGGTTGATTAGCTGTCGCACACTTGAGCGACATATCTCACGTGTCTCGTTGCATGCGCAAATCAGGATACGGTGGGCTTCGAGCGCGAAAGCTACCCCGTGATCACGCGCGTCAAGCTTCCATGACCTCAGCACTCGGGCTAGCAAGCTATCGCTCAGGTCCTCAGATGATCCCAAACACACATGCTGTGCTGTCTTCCAACGCGGTGTATTCCGACCAACTAGATAACACTATCATACAGCGGTGTCTGGCTCGTCCGTGTACTGCGGCGCCTGAGCCAGGTTCGCCTCCTGCTCCCTCCGCGCTCTCTCCAGGTCCGCGGCCCACAACGCCGAGCTTGCTGGTGCCGTCATGAGGAAGAACATGCTAAGCGGCGGTACATACTGCAGCATGAGATAGACTGTGCCGTACCTATTGTTTGTTAGTCGCATCACGATGACCACACGCAGAACACGTACCAGGTGTATTGCCATCTCCTCTTCTTGATGGCAAGATTCCTCTGTTTCTTGTCGTAGCCCAGAAGCTGAAAGTATCGCCAATGCTGGAACGGACCCGCGCGATAGCCCGTCAGCAAAAGAAATATCGGCACCCCGACGTATGGTATAAAGTTCACCGGCAGCAGGATGACGAACTCGGCGATCTGGCGGAAGGAGAACGGCGCGTAGACAGAAGAGCGTGTAGGCTTGCCGAGTCGGCGGACGGGGTCATTCAGCGCATCCTCAGTGACGGGTCGGTGTTTGCGGACGAGGTCTTCGTAGCCTTTGTAGATGAGGACGGCGTCGAACACGTCGACTTGCGACTCGTCCTAGACAGTGTCAGTACTCGAGTGTAGCATGCAGTGCGTGTAGACGTACAACCAAGAAGGACTCGAATAGCAATGCTACTATCGCAGCTCCCTCTCCCAAAACCAGGAACACGGCGTTGACCCACGCACTACCCGCCGTGTGAAATATCTTGAGGAAGAGTACTTGAGGCAGTAACGTCCATACAAAGAGGTTTATGAGGACGAAGAGGCTGAGAAGTACTGCCGGTAGTAGTCGCGCCTTGAGCAGAGGGTACAGGAACGGGTGCGCGAGGAAGAAGACGATGCCCTGCTGCCTATTAGCACATGCGCGACAACAGCAGAACGAGTACAAATACCTTGACAAGATACGTTGACGCTACAACATTATCCACAGTCGGCCGCACCACTACTCTCGGTATATTCCCCAACGCCGCATGCACTCCTTGCTGTGACATCGTGGTGGTTCTCGTGGTGATGCTGAAGTTTGCGTGAAACAGAGACGCGAAGGCAGCTGCGTAAGAAAGACCTCGGGAGTGACGTAGCCAGTGAGACCCTGCGCGGTCCCACATCCCCCACGACCAGCCTTATCCACCTTGAGCATTTCCCGTCGGAGGACGCGCGGGCATAGCATCTGTGGTGGCTTGCAGCAATGTACAGTAACCTGCATGCGTGAACGATATAGACGCCTGACACGCCCTGCGAATGATCCATGACCCCAGTCTCGCGATGCATATAGGACGTATCTCCCAAAGTGGAAGACGGGTATCAACCTTCCAACCGACTCCATTACAGATGAACAATTGAATCTCAATCTCATCTCAACACATCTCGAATTCCTATCCACCATGTTCCACAACCCCACCGCCTCAACCTACCAACACACCACCCCCTCCACCAACCCCTCCGTCGAGCCCTTCCACCGCAGCCTCCCCGACTACGCCGTCACCCCTCTAATCCCCTTACCAGACCTCGCCCAACAACTCGGAATCGGCCACATCCTCCTAAAAGACGAATCCGCACGTCTCGGCCTCCCCGCCTTCAAAATCCTCGGCGCATCATGGGCCATCCAAGTCGCCTTAACCAAGAAACTTTCCCTACCCACCACAGCCACACTAGACGAGCTTGGTGCAGCAGCAAGAAAAGAAGGGGTGGAGTTGGTGACGTGTACAGAAGGGAATTGGGGCAGGGCTGTAGCGCGGATGGCGCAGTATTTAGGTGTCAAGGCAGTGATTTTTGTGCCTGATTTTATGGATAGGGCGACCCAGGAGAAGATTAGGGGTGAGGGCGCGACGGTGGTGGTTGTGGATGGGGACTATGATTTCTCGATTGAGAAAGCGAGGGAGGAGGCGGAGAAGGAGAAGGGGGGGATGTTGGTTATGGATGTGAGCTGGGAGGGGTATGAGGAGATTCCTGAGGTAATGTCTATCCTTATGCCCCAGTCCATATCTCCGCCTATCTATACAACTGTGGAAACTAACGTGTACACAGTATGTAGTACAAGGCTACATAACCATGCTCACAGAAACCGACAAACAACTCACTTCCATGTCCCTCCCCCCCTTAACCCACGCCATCGCCGCCGTAGGCGTAGGCTCCTGGGCACAAGCCGTAACCAGCCACTACAAAGCCTCGTCGCTCCCCCAACCCGCCACTGTCATAACCGTCGAGCCCGACACCGCAGCCAGCCTCAAGACAAGTCTGGAGAAAGGCAAGATCACACCCATCTCCACCGGCCATACAATCTGCAACGGCATGAACTGCGGGACGACGAGCACGACGGCGTGGGAGGTGTTGAGGAAAGGCGTGGATGTAAGTGTTACGGTAAGAGATATTGATGTACACAATGACTTGCTGGAATTGCATGCCCAGGGGATAAGGAACGGGCCGTGTGGAGCTGCGACGATGACGGCGTTGAAGAGGGTGTGTGAGGACGGAAAAATGAAGGAGACGTTGGGGTTGGACGAGACGTCAGTTGTGGTGTTGTTTAGTACGGAAGGGGCCAGAGACTACATCATCCCATTTGGTGCTTGAACTCATAATCCCCATCCCGAGGTCTCATAAAGATAATATCATATATCCTATCACATGTCACTCCCTCAACCGAGCGTCTTAGTCTTCTCCTTCTTCTCCTTCTGCCTCTCCATAACATTCAACACATCATCCGCATTATTCTTATCCCCCTTCCTCTTCTTGCCACCCCGCTTCCTCACCTTCTTCGGCCCCTTACCCCCTTCCTCGCCATCCTCATCATCGCCTTCAGCACCCAGTCCCTTCCACTGACTGAACTTGACTTTCTCGCCTTCCCGCTCCATCTCCTCTGCGTCATCGAATCGCGATGCTCCGAAACCCATGTCCATGTCTTCCATATCGCGATCTGAAGCCGCCAGCTCGGCAGCACGTTTCTTGAGTCGCGCTTCTTTCGATGCGGGGTCGTTGGGGTCGGTGGAACCGAGGTTTTGGAGGAGGGTGGAGTTTTCGTCCAGGTTGCGGACTTTGGCCAGCGCGGCGCGGACGGTGGCGTCGGCGGCGGAGAGGTCGGAGGGTTCTGCTGTGGAGGTTGAGCGGGCTGTGGTTGCGAAGTAGTCTCGTTTTGCGGGCGCTGCGGGCGCGGTGTCTTTGGGTTTCGCTGGCGCGTCTTCTTCTGCTTCTGAAGATACCTCCCCTTCTGATTGTGAACCCGCGGCATCGAGCTTAGGTGCAGTAGGCTCTGGCTTCGCTGTCTCTTCGTCCGATTCGTCATCTGGGTCGTCGAAGTTTGCGAGCGGGTTGTAGTTCGACCCCACCCCTGCGAATATATCCTCGTCCTCTGACTCTTCCTTCTTCGGCTCAGGCAGGTTGTGCATATTGATCGGCTTATTCACATCGTCCAGATCATGACGTACTTCAGGCGCTGGCTCCTCGACCTTCTGCTTCTTGACCTTCCTCTTCTCCTTGCCATCTGGACCGGTGATGATCAGCACCTCACGACCCTTCTCGTCTGTCTCGATGCGTGTGTCTCCCTGGGCGTTGATCTTGCGAAAGCCTGGTCCCAGGGTGGGAAACCTCTTCTCGTGCTCGGCCGCGGCGGCTGCTGCGGCCTCTTCTCGTTGCCTCTTGAGATCCTTCAGAATGTCATTGCGACTTCTCTTGACGCCAGCGACAGGACGTGGGCCAGTCATCTTCTCGCCTTTCTTCTCAGTCTTCTCGCGTGTAATGGGGCCGACATCCGCCTCTGCCAGCTCATCGAACGCATCTTCGACCTCGGGTACCTCTTCAGCCTCCTCCTCCTCTTTTTCTTCTTCTTCTTCTTTCTTGTCTAGGCCACCCAGAACATCCTCGCCTCGCCTCACTCTCTCGAGCAGCTTCCTGTCCAGGCCCTTCACTAAATGTGTGGTCCCGACATCACCGCCCGTGATCTCTTGCACCAGCTTCTCAAACGTCTCGCGGTCGATCTCGCCCTTCTTCATAGACTCCTCGAGGTTCTTGACGCGTTTGGCGATCTCATTGTCTTCCTCGTCCGTGTAAGCTTTCGTGCGGTCGGTGTAGCCTGCGGCGAGCCTCGTTCCTTTGGGCACTATGTTCCTGGCCTTCTTCTGCGGGTTGTTCTTCGCGTTGCGTTCGGCGAGTTGGCGCGCAAAATCTGATTGTATTGAGCCCTTGCCTACCTGGCGACTGCATATCTGTTAGCATCAGTCCTGCGCGAGACACTCTTGGGAAAACTTACGGTGTCATTGGTATGCTCGAGTGCTTGCGCGCGCCCAGCACCGCCCTCGGCGTAGCCCCGGCAGGTGACTTACCCTTGCCATCATCCTGAGGTTTTGGTGTTTCGACTAGCAGCCGCCTGAATTGCGAGTTGTTCATGGCGCGCGAGTTGAGAGGTTGGTGCAGAGTCGTGATTCGCAAAAGATGTGCCAAGCCTCTGCAGGCGTCTCCGGGTCGCGCCTGCACCACGCGAGGCTACGCTAAAGAAGCGTGGCTGGTCTAACGCGGGGAACCTTGAGCGCTCAACACAACTCCAGCCTCGTCTACCACCGGATTGTATTGCGTCAGCAGGATACTGATGGCAACTGTACGGACTTTCTGCGGCACGGACAATGCCTTAATTTACGTAGTCTTCGGTACCCTGCCGCTTCGGCTCTAGCTGGCTGTCTGTAAGGTTGCAGCGCGATCTTGCTTATGCAGGATCACAAGACTACTGTAGGGAAATGCTACCTGTTTCCCTGTACGAGAGTTACGCTATGCCGCCACAGTAAAACGATCGTGCATAGCCCGAAAGGTTCTGTATCTTCCCCATTTCACTTGCTAGGCACCCTGCGATCCCCACCACCCCGCTTCCTCTCTGCATAAGTACTTGAACAGCCGGGTAAATTGTTGAACTTACCTCACACGCCTCCCCTTCCCCGGTATCTGTGAAATTGTAACGGCAGCATGTTCAAGCTTCTGATTGCAGCGGCTCTTGCTGCGGTGGGCTCGTCCCAGTACGCCGTGCCCAACGCGACCAATTCGACTACATTCATGAACCCGATTGTGGGCGCTGGAGCAGACCCGTAAGTCAATCCTCCAAATTATGCTACCATCCGTCTGAACATCATCCAGCTGGATGTTCCGCCACAAGGACTACTACTACATGACCTACACCAACAACGTCAACATCACCCTCTGGCGCAGCAAGTCCCTGACCTCCTGGGACGCCGCAGAGTCCAAGACCATCTTCGTCCCCGAGCCCGACCAGGCCTACTCCACCGACCTCTGGGCGCCCGAAATCCACCAAATCGACGGAAGCTGGTGGGTGATCTTCACCGCAGACCCCAACTTCGACTCCCCACCACCCGAGGTGGAGATGTGGTGCGAGTACAACTGCCCCGCCGTCAACCACCGCATGTTCACCGTCGTCGGCGAAGGCGAAGACCCCTGGACCGCCGAGTACCGCTACCACAGCGAACTCGAGACGTACGATCAATTCGCCATCGACGGAACCTACTTCCAGCACGCCGACCAACTGTACCACATCTACTCGTGCTGGTACCACAAGTACGACGGCTGGCCAGCCAACCTCTGCATCACCAAGATGTCCGACCCTTCCACCACCATCTCCCCCTTCTCCGAGCGCCAAATCATCTCCGTCCCAGAATACGCATGGGAAAAGACCCCCTTCGGCCGCTCCATCAACGACCGCCTCTCCTCCAACGAAGGCCCCCAACAACTCACCAACCCCACCACCGGCCAAAACTTCCTCATCTACAGCGCCGCCCGCTCAGACAACCGCAACTACTGTCTCGGTCAGCTCGAGCTCGTTGGCGACGACCCCATGAACCCTAGCGACTGGCGCAAGCATCCTTACCCCGTCTTCTACCAGAACCCTAGCGAGAAGGCGTACGGTGTTGGTCACGCGTCTTTTACGACGTCGCCTGATGGATCCGAGGACTGGATCGTTTACCATGGTATGCAGGATCCGACGAATGGGTGGAGTGCGAGGTCGATTCGTGCGCAGAAGTTTGGCTGGAATGAGGATGGGAGTCCGGACTTTCCTAAGCCGGGGTATGGGCCGTATCAGGTTCCTAGTGGGCAGTAGAGAGGTGGTTGAAGTGGTGTCTGGGTTTGCGGGATGACAGAGGGGCTGTGAAGTCTCTCTTATTCTGCGGCTGGTTTGCTTGTATCTTCGGGACGGCGGCGATCGGCTGTGTTGGAAGGGTTGTGAAGAGAGCCTCTTCTGCCCTGTCTCTTGCATACAGACCTTGGATAATACCTAGGTATCTGGACCTCGATGGATATATATTGCCACCTTAATGACAACGATCATGATGAACTTGACCGACCATTGTTGAGACTTTATCTCTTGTGTAATGCCCTGCGTCGTAGAGATGATGATGATGATGATAATACATATGGGTGTTCCTGCCAGTTCCACCAAGTCCTCTGTTCCCTATGTGACTTTATGGTATACTGTAGACCTGCGTGGCTTGCGTACACGTTTGGTGCGGCTTCGATCGAGCATGCCCACCACCCGGAAGTATTGCGCAACCCACCACATCGCTCGGAAATATGCAAGAACCACATATACTGTAACTTATGGAGCTTTGAAACATACCATGATGTTCCGATACGATTTCATGACATCCGAATTTGGGTTGTTGTGTCTGTTTTTCGGATTATGTAGAACGTCTTGTTGTGTGTTTCTGGTATTTAAGACTCAACACGTAACATGTTCAAAAAATTACAACACAACCACATCTTGCTCAAACCAACTCAAACTTGGCAGATCAACCAAGGTAACACATGAAAACGCTTCTCACAAGTTTGAGATTATTTGGGCATCGTTGTGGATGTCTACGCGTTGGAGGTCTGCGGAAGCGTCTTTCTGGAGCAGTCAAACTACGCGTATATTCATAATCACACGACGCGGGTTAGATGCACAGCGCGATATAAATGCAAATATACAGTCACGCGTACATCAAGAGTACAAAAATTCGAATATTTATTATTCACATATAGCCCGCCGCGTTGTTCGGTCGTTGGTTGCAGAAAGAGGTGACGTCATACGTTCAACAGCCAAACTTCACAGCCGTCTTCACGCAGGTGGCAGTAAGCGCAAGCTATGAGTCATACTACGACCGGTCAAACGGCACAGTCAATGAGTCACGAAACGTCCTGTTCATTGTGCAAGCGAACGAGATGAAAGTCGGCCTGGCAAACTGTACACGACGCTAAATCACATGCACACTAGCAGAACAAAAGGCGGAACAGCACACCGCGGAAGTGGAGCACAACAGCAATGACCACCGCGTTCACCAAAAGTTCGCAGACGCGTCGCACATCACAGCAGAAGACAAGTTGATGAAGTTATTATGGTATCATTCCATGCAAATCAGAACCCGACTGATATAACCGTGAACTCCGAGCCTTCTTATACTATACAAGGCCATGACCATCCCACCAAGCACCGAAGAGGCGACCGTAGACTGCTGAAGAAGCCAGCCGGACAAAAGTCGTAACATTGAAAACCGTGAAGAGCGAGAAAAGACGACGCGCTTAACCACCGAAACCGTACAGAG